GAGGTAATGCTTTTTTTAGGCAGATCGTGCAGGCGCTTTCACTTTATGAAGCTTTTTTTTTATTAGAATAAAATAATGTAGCCAATTTTTTTTTCTTTGTTTTTCCGCTTTTTTTTTTTTTTCTTTGTTTTTCCGCTTTTTTTTTTTTTTTACAATTCCTCTTGTATCGTGGGTCTTTCTATAAATCCCTACTGTTCTGTATCTAGAAATAATCTCATAGCTTTTTGTCTTGTCACGTTATCTGGTGGGTTTTTTTTCTCTGGAACAAGTATGGCGACCATCCGTCATGACTGTTCTTGTTATTCGTCAGTCGTGTTGATGAGGACCAGGACATTTCCTTTGGGTTGTAAGGTTTATCACGACACTCATGATTTGAATCTCAAGAAACATATTATAATTATAATGGCCGTAAGGATTGCTATAGATATACAACCAAAGCGGCATACCTAAAAACACAAACTCACTTCTTGGAGACAATGATTTGGCTAACATTTTTCGTTTTGTCTATTCCAGTGTCTGCGGCCCGCCCTCTACGGTATACATTGCCAACTTTTCTGGACACACCTGTCAACGTTACTGCAGTTTTCGGCTCTGATGTCATACTGCCATGTTCAATACAAAATCTGGGCCCCAAATCGGTAAGTAATCTATAATTATTTCGCTGTGAATTTCTGAATGGAAAGGAAGAAGGAACGCCAATGAAAAGTTCCTTTTAAATTACAGACAAGAATGGGGTGCATGAGATTTGGGCTAAACAGGATATTGTTTAGAGTTAAACATTCATGTGCAAAGGAATAAGAAAGGGATTGAATACGTCTTAAAACGTGCAGTCGTACGTTATGTGCCCGTATACAATTTCTGAATTCGATATGCCATTTCCCTCAAATCTCATTTAGAGATAAAGAACGCGCAGTCTCGAATATTAAGGCAATACAGACGTCCGTCCTTTCGTGAATTTGGGTCGCTCTTATTTCAAAATAAAATTGTTTATGGAAATGGAGTTTCCACATATTTTCTGTCTGTGCTAAATAATGATTTCACGCCTCCTTTCTCTGCACTTTCATTTCCAGAAGGTCTTAATCTTTAACTCTTTTACAATTTCTTAAACTTCGAGCAACCAAATTTGCA